ACAGACAATCAGATTAACCTCACGTCACCGGTTTTTACTTGAAAAATGCTCCTCTCCAGACCTCCCATCATTTTTTTTGGCTCCTATTAGAAAGTTCAAAGTTTCAGCTTATGGAAGGGCAACACTACAATAGTAGGGGCAATATAAATCCACGCTGAGTGCCATTAGCAGAACTTTGTGTGCATGTTTGAGTGTACACAGCTGGGTGGGTGGATGAAGAGATAGATGTGCACAGCCAACGTTCATACACTTAGAATCTTACAATCAACTTCAAGAAATAGACAAGAGTTTTTGCCTTACTTTAGATAAAGACTCTCATTAGGTTTCCAGAAAAATGTGCTGAAAAGCTCACTTTTTCTGTGTCACTTTGCTGGGTTTTTGTCAGTCTCTGAACAAGTCTCATCCTTTGGTTAGGAATTATTTTAGATTCTTGATCAAGAAAAATCCTCAGGCTTATGAAATTCCCTTTGGCAACAAACTGAAAACTCAGTGTCCTCTGATGCCTATGACTCTTATGCGATCAGAGACATTAATGATAATGACCCTTTGCTGAGTATGCTACTTGTCTAGAGGCCTATGTCAACTACACCACTACCTTCAGAGTGGACAGGGACAAACTATTTATTTGCTCTTCAGGCCCCTTAGGCCCTGTCATATGCTATTTGCTCTTGCATTAAGAGGTAGTTTGACTCAGTTGGGTTGACATTTCCTTCAAAACGGTGTATTCCACTCATGCTGTAGCAGCTACCATAGCATTAAGTGAGGACTTGGACCCCAGCAACAGTCCTTTTAAGTGGATTTTGTGATTTGCACCCAGGACTTTTCACATTTTTACTGGTCACCCTGGAATCCAAAACGATACTTTTTAAAAACTAGCTTTGTTAGTTGATACTCTGTGTGATACAGCCTTCTCATATTTAACTTGGTTGTCCATCAGTTACATGCATCAAAAACTGTGACTGTGAGATTATGAACAAGTGAGTTGGTATCACTTCATGATATCAGAGGCATCAAATGGTTCTACTTTTTCTTCTGCGCCTTATGAAGAAGGAAATCTGATATGCTATATGTCATTATTATTCTACTACTCATAGTTCTTCCTTTTTCTTCCATTTCCCACTCGCGTTTTTTTCCTTATCCAATACGATGTCCCCGTGTTCACATCCCCACAGGATATGTGTCCTTTTACGTCTTTCTTGTTGGAGCTTAAGTTACATTTGAAAAATGCACATGCTCTTGTGAGTTTAATGGGACAGACCTCTGTTGATGTAAATCAGATAGAAAGTAGTCATGGCAATGTAAAGTGGCTCAGTATTTTTATAGTTAATTATAGTTAATTATATATAGTTAATTAATCTAGCTAATTATAGCTAGAGTTGCAAATTGGAAGATTTGCTCCTGACTGACCATAGGTTCTACCATTGTTATCAGTGTGATCCTGCTGATGTCATTTGACATTATACAGGACTCAGTTAAAACAGTGACTTTCTAACTGAATTTAACTCATTTCTGATGTCTATAGAGAACATCTGATAATCTACTACCTATTTCAGTTAGCAGTTTATTGGCTTCTAGAGACAACAGCATGCAAAGATGCTTTCAATCTATGCATCAGCATCGTATTTGATAATATGTTTTTCTATTTACATGTGAGCGAATTTCAAAAATTCCCACCTTCTGACAAGGTCAAAGTAAGCACCTGTCAGACCTCTGGTCATGAGCTTCCAGGGAATAACCACGGCATGGCTGCTGTCCTCTGTTCTGCTCCAGTGAAGCAAAAGTCACAGAGTTTTATCTTCTGGCATAACCCCTCTTATCTGATTTGCCTAGCCACTGCAGAAATCTAAAACCTATGCAGCATTTTCAATATTATCCTGACTGTAGGGCTGCTCAGGAAGTCATTCTAGAGTCACAGCTCCGATTACAATTTATAAACTAATTTGCACATACTATTCCTTCTTTACATGCTCCAGTCTTCCTGCACACCAGCCCCCCTTCAGATCTAGGACCATAGCTGAAGAAACAGTCTGCTAAGTAACCATCTGTTTTTGTTGGAGGGATGGGGTAAAGGTGGCTTTGAACAGGAGCTTTTAAAGTAAATTCAGGAAAAAATAAGTAACCATCTGTTTTTGTTGGAGGGATGGGGTAATGGTGGCTTTGAAAAGGAGCTTTTAAAGTAAATTTAGGAAAAAATATTGCAAAGGTAAATATCAGCTACAGGCATGTCAGTGCTTTCGCTGTTTTATCTCTTGTGTACTTTTAGCTGACATACACTAAAGATTTAAGGGCACGCAAGCAAGTACCTGTCAATTTAGGTAATTTACGAGTATATAAAACAGCAGATAATACAGCCCACCTTTCTTTATGGGAAAGGAGAAAAGGATCTGCCCATTACATTTGCAATGAAGTTAAACAGAGTTTTCTTCTGATTCAATCAACTTTCTCTTATTTAGGACCTTGAACCAAAGTTAAGTCAATGTAGATAAAGGATGAGACAAAGAGACTATCAAGTCTGGGGATAGCCTGAGAGTACCAGTACAGGGCTGGTGAATAAATTTAGCAGCAAAGGAGAAGAGGAAGAAAACAATGACTGGATCTGGAAGCTTGGCAAGTTCTCCACTCGCTGCTCGACCTGTATTTAGCAATTCTGATGTGCTACTGAGCAGACAGCTCAGGCTCAGGACGACTACTCTCCCTCAGTCCCTCTTCAGCAGGCAATGAAAGCAGGCTCCACTTTGAAAATCTTCCCCCATCATGCAAACTGACACAGGCATGCTTTTCAAAAACCCACAGCCAATCTGTTGATCATTACTTATTTACAAAGGCCTTCGGGCAGAAAGTCCTGTAAAAACCATACTTGATACGGTATATACTAGCTTTTTCTGCTTGTGGAAAAAAAGTACCCCTAAGGCTACCTCAAACCATCACTTTCTATTGCACATAAAATGTACCGTGTAACACTAAAGTATTTAATATATATGGTATAATATATCTACAGGAAAGGCATTTGTATAGAAGTATGTTACCCTGTATTTGGTAATTTGATGTTTTGCTGAAGGCTATGACTTGAAAAAGCCTGCACCTAGTACAGAGGACCTGTCATCTCAGTACCCAAGAGCCAATAGAATAAAGAAGTACCCTTAAGCAGCAAAACTTTGACACAGCTTTGAAGCATATGAAAACAGTATAACTCCCCAGAATTATTATTACTCAAGATCAAAGAAATGAGGCATACTTTACATAGCAAACAGGGACAGTGCACTCAGCTCCAAATGTTTCAGCTCCTTCTCTCTCTCTCTCTCCCTCTCTCTGTGTCTCTCTCTCTCTTTTTATTTTTACTTCCCCAAAATTAAGATTTGGGGATAGGAGAATCTCCCACATTTTTAGAGCTTGAAATGGATAAAACTATTAGCATGAGATAAGAGGAATGCCCAAAGGTGAGTAAACTGAAAATGATGCTAGCATGACAACTGGTGTCACAAAATGAGAAGCTTACCAGTATGCTCATTTTATTCTTCCTCATAAACTGTAAACAAGCATGTAAATCAGTGTCATATGGGCAAGGCTGAGCTAACAGGAAGGAAGAGAACTTTTGATGATACATTTAACAGAAATAGATAGTCAATGGAAAAAAAAAGACACAGCTGGATGCATTTGGGTCTGTGAATCAATCTCACTTTTGGTTCTGCAGTCAAACAGAGACGAAGAAGACTTGTAGAAGTTATGTCCTTGAATATGCCCTAGATTGCAGTAACAATAAACAAATACGGATGCTTCTTTAACTGGCCAGGGAAATTCCCAGTCTATTGACTGAAATATAGAGAAGCAAATTATCTATCAAAAATCCATCTAGAATTTTTAAAGGAATAAAGGCATTGTAAACAATGAAAGAAGAGTGGTTAGTGATTTTATATATATATAAAGAATTATATATTCATATTCATTTTTTTCACTTACTCTCCACTACTGCAGATCAGAATTACTGTACTAATATACACACACCTAAACCCCAAACAGGATGAATGTGTCTGTTTATTCATGTAAATGCGCTTGCATTTGGATACAATTACGGACTGAGGTTCTAGCCTGTCTTGAGATGTGCATGATCAGAGCAGGAACAGCCTGCCTGTGGAAAACTCCACAGCCAGTATCTGATCTTGTTCTGATTGACTTGAGCAGGCAAAAGGTGAAGCTCAGTGAGAAAGAACGGAAATGCCATATTATTTTAATAGATTCCAATTTTCCTATTGCAGTTTTATTTTTAACAAATCTCCTCTTAGAGGCAAATTGTCCTATGGAAAGCAACCACATAGTTATACAAAGGCTTACTGGTGTACATAGAGCAACAGGGGAAAAATATCACTGGCAAGATGATGTTTTCGTAATCCACTTTTAGAGTATATACTACCCTTTAAAAAATCCTTGTATTTCATAATTAATGTGCTTTTAGCCTAAGTAAAACTGCATTAGTTTTGAACTTTGCTTTGGCAACTACATAGATTATTAGAATTTTTTTATCAGTCTAAATCAATTAACAAAAATTTGATTTCAATCGACAGGATAAAAGGAAGGTAATACTCAGGTTCATTTTTGATTGTGATGATACATCTCACATATGGCCTTAAGTACAGAAAACAGTACTCAGAGGGAATCCAACAAAAAGAGAATTGCCTGAGGCAAACTAACCACATGAGTTCCTCTGATTGGTTAGTGCTATCATTAGTGCCACTGCTGTTTAAGAACTACACACGGACAGGACAGGGTGACAGCTAAGACTTTAAAGCCTATGTATTTTTCAAACAGCTTTTCAAACTGTTTTTCATGACAGAATTTTTTTCAGCTCTATCATTAACTGCTGACAAGCTGACAGAATAAATACTTCAGCCTTTCAGAAACCATCTAA